AAAAAAAAAAAAAAAAAAAAAAAAAAAAAAAAAAAAAAAAAAAAAAAAAAAAAAAACACGGATTTACCTTGACGGAAAGATTTATTATCTGTTGGTTAGAATGAGGGAATCGTTGTTTACCCAAAGAAAATCCGTTTTCGGCCCAAAACGTACGGTTGTTTTCCCTCTAAGTTCAACCCGGTCAACATTGAGTATATATAATTTTGTGATTTATGAAAACACAAAGGCCCATCAAATGTATATTTCCAATGTTATAAGTCACGCGACCTGCACTGTAATTTTTTAAGTGTCGTATTTAGGGGTGCGCGTAAACACAAGTACATGACCTCTAGGGAACCTACCTAAATTGTATTTAGAGATGCATAAATTGTACTTGAGCTCCACACTTGTATATGTTTTGAATTTCATTGTGGATAAAGCAACCTTATTTTGCCAAGATTTGAAGTCTCAAATTTTAATAAAATGTCCCAAAGAGAAATTCCAAGTTTGTGCGATGTTATCGAGTCTTTTTAGCCCAAAACTTCAAAACCGATATCAAAAAGTGTTATTTAAAAATCAATATGTAAAATACTTATATATTATTTATTTTCACAATAAGCCATTACACAATCTATCCCAAGTATGGGGTGCTGTCACGCTGTCCCGAAATTGACAGCAGAATATGGTATTATGAAGTTCGTCAAGCATGGCCCCAAACAGTCAACAAAGTAAATACAACGAAGGCGATGCCTACAGAAGGTACACGATAACAACCAAACCATACACGATTCTACGATTTTAGATCTTCTTCAGGGAGTTCACAGGACTAGCTGATTAAGATTATTCTGAAGCTGGATTTTTATATGCCCACGAACTACCCATAATTGTCGTCCAATCTCTGGCCGAATTCCATGCAAAATGAAATATTACGGTCACACTTGAACGTGTCTCCCGAAATTCCTTCACAGTACATAGTGACGACATAGGCTACGACCTCTCCCAGGGATGAGAGCAGAAAACCACAGTGCACATTGGCCTCCATTTGCTATGCCGAAGTCGTAAAGCTTGAAAAACTCTGAATACGTCTAGGGTAGTCAGGAAGTTGGCAAAAGTGGTTCAAACCTTTTTTACTTTCTTTATAGTAATAAAGTGTGTAGCATTTGACAACCGCCACATTCCATCCTCTTTCTGGGCAAGGCCATACTTGCTGCCCTCTCTTTGGACGAAGTTCATGCAAAATAACACCACACGACGGTCAAACTTGGACGTATCTCCTGTCCGACCATCTAAACAGACAATGGAGGGTGCAACCCCTACCTCTGCTAGTGAAGGAATCACTAAATCATAGCTCTTCTCTTCGTGACTTAACGACGCTTTAAAGGCTGGGAATGAATCGTTCAGAATATCTGCAATTTCCCCTTGATATAACAATGAACGCCTCGCCTCCACTATCTTTTTTAAATTAACGACTTGTTTAGGAAAAAGAATCTCAAAACAACGCAGAGAGGTGGTTCAAATGAAGTCATTTTCCCCACCATCTAACTCTATAACCAACATACCCCCGGGCTTAAGGACGGTATACATGGCAATGACAGCTCGTTTGATGTCTTCATGAGGATCACAGGAATCATCCAACCAGCGTGTAAGATGATACATAGAATGTATAGCTAGTACCCTGTCCTGTAATTCTTCAGGATACGCTCCAATGGACCTCAGCTCTTCCACGGACTTCCCAAAGTAATCCTGGAACCGTCCAGAGTAGGCCACATCCAGAGTAGCATTCTCCAAGTTCTCGATGCATTTCTTGTACTTCTGCAACGACTCTTCATGAGGTTCTTCCACGCTGACGATGGCATATTTCTTCAGGGCTTGGAGTGTTTTACATATGGATGACATTGGAATTCCAGTACCTCCCCCAAAATCCATAATGCGGACCGGTGAGGGAAGTTCTGGTAGGTTCAGGGTTTTTACACGAAAGGTTTCGAGGTTGAGTGAACCTCTTTTTCTGCTTTCTTCTTTTCTGAAAAGTTAAAGGAGTTAATTTGTAATTACATGAAAATTAATGTGACCAAAACAAACAGGTAAGGTATATAAAAAAGGGTGATCTTACCCATTGCGAAGGATGGTTAAACATTTGAAATAAGCTTGGGAGACTGTTAAGGAGCTGAACTCTTTTTCTAATCTACGTCGCATTTCCTCTTCATCTTGTTCTCTTGTTTGTTGGCTGGCCGCCATCTAAAATGCTTTGAATTCTGTCTCACAAATCTGCTCTGAGTCAAAATTCTAGTTGAAGCTCTCTAAGATAAAATCAACAACTGGGATGTTTATATTAGGACGCCCGCTTGAAAACAAGCCCCTTTCCTATCTCTGTCTGCTCGTGTGCTGTCTTTACCTAACTGCAATTGAATCTTCACTCCAATATGGTCCATAGAAGTACTAATTAAGGTACTTTTTGCTCATCAAAGATACAAATGTTTCCACTTGACGTAACTGAGTGCATTACCTGCAAACTAATAGGTTACATCTTATGTATTGAATGTAAAAGACAGAGAATGGTGTATCTTAGTGATACAGGTAGCGCACTGTTCAGAAAAAACCGACTGAAAAGTTCAAACAAAAGATATAAATAAAACTATAAAGAAACTATACGGGCAGCTAAGGTTTAATTTAAACACTGTTGCTCAATATGGTTGTCAAAGCCATCGGTGTTGTTATAAGTGTCGCATTGTAATTTTAAAAGTGAAGTATTTACATTGCTTGAGCTGGACATATATGTTTATAACTTCATTGCCGGCCATGACGTCTTAATTTACAATAAAATGACCCAAAAGGAATTCAATGACACAAAATTCGCCAGTTCTAAGCTTTTACTGTTCTTGTGTGTTTCTTTTCTTCCCTGTTATAAAAAAATCAATTTTTACTACATAACTTCAGGTCTATTGCTCTTTTTTATTGTGAACTAGGATTGCCCGTTTTTAGCGATTCATTTAAGGTTTCCTACAAAATCTGTTTACATAAACTTAACGTTCTCTAAAAGTTCTTAGAACATTCTTTTGTTTCGATTTCAATTCATAATACTACCAGTTTGCCACACCAGATTCTCTGAGGTCCACCCTAATTGAATACCATTCGGTTCCTAAGACCAGTGTCAGTTCATCTGTAGCTTGGTGGAGGTCTGGTTTCACATATTGGATGACCAATTTCAATTGTGAACTAAAAAGTAACCTCGAATATAACAAAACCAAGAGATATGTCACATAAAGGAGTCTTAAGATATAGAAACATTTTATTCGTGTAAAGTAATGATGCCAGTCTGGTTTGTAAGTCATAAATCTTACTGTTCTAATGCCACTATAAAGTGCATAAAAAGTCGTATGGTAACTCTTATCAATGAACACCGCATCTGCCCTTATCCCCCAGAACACGTGTACTTTATTATTTCACATTATATAACCACGTTTTACACCTTATACAAACTCTGAACAATGTGAAATATATAAAAAGGTCGGTATCATGATAATGCTATCATGCATTTAAAAATGAAAATAATTTTGAGCATTTGACACCCTTTAAGTTATGATTTGCATGGATAAAAATTACACAAAACATAGTAGGCTTAAGCACAACAGGATAAAACTAAATATGTCTCTAGTGTGTCTAGTACCAATGCTCGATGTAATGTGTAAGAATAAAAATAACTGTACACTTTGTTACTTTCACAGTTCTTTCTTTAAAGATTAGAATAGTCATAATCAGCTTTGACTTTCTTAATAGTGATTAAGTCTGTGACATTTGACATCCTCCACATTCCGTCCTCTTCTTGGGAAAGGCCATAGTTGCTGCCCTCTCTCTGGACGAAGTCCATGCAAAATGACAACACACTAGGGTCAAATTTGGAAGTGTCATCTGCCCAACCGTGGAAATAGGTTATTAGGACCATGCCTCCGACCTCTGCCAGCGATGGTAGCACAAAATCACGTCTCGCCTCCTCGTGTCTAATCAAAGCTGTAAAGGTTGGAAATGATTTGTTCAGAATATTGGCAATTTCCCCTCGAAGTAGCAAAGTACTTCTAGCCTCCGCTGCCTTCGTTAAGTTGGCGGCTTCATTAGGAAAGCAAATCTTCAAACAGTGCACAGATGTGTTCCAAATGAAAGAGTTGTCTCCATTATCCAACTCTATTATTATTATTCCCCCAGGATTGAGGATGGAATACATGGCAAAGACAGCTCGCCTGATGTCTTCATACGGATCAGAGGAATGATCAAACCAATTTGTGAGATGATAGATAGAATGTATGGCAAGCACAATGTCCTGAAGTTCTTGAGGATACGCTCCAATGGACTTCAGCTCTTCCACAGACTTCCCAAAGTAATCTTGGAACCTTCCAGAGTAAGCCACATCCAGCTTAACATTTTCCATGTTCTCAACGCATTCCTTGTACTTCTGCAGAGACTCTTCATTGGGTTCTTCCACGCTAACGACGGCAACCTTGTTGAGGGCTTGGAGTCTTTTACAAATGGCTGACACGGGGGTTCCTGTACCTCCCCCAAAATCCATTATTCGGATTGTTGAAGGCAGTTTTGATAGGTTCAGGATGTTCTCACGAATGGTATCAAAGTACATTAATCCGCGTTTTCTACTTTCTTCCTCTCTGAAAGTTAAGGACGTGAAATACTTAATAAATGAAAAAAGAGTTACAAATGACTCATAATTAATTGATTTATTATTGGGGAACACCTACCCATTGCTGATAATAGTTACACATTTGTTATAAGCTTCAGCATTAGCCATGGAGCTGAACTCTTCTTCCAGTCTACGCCGCATCTTCTGTTCATCTCGTTTCCCTGTCTGAATGCTGACTGCCATTGGAATATTCTGCAGTATGTTCTGTCCAATAACTCTACTATAATATGCATAAATCCAGAATCACACACTTTCTCCAATTTCTTCGGTTAATGTCGAATTAATTAAACAAGTGCAAGGACACCCATCTAAAGCTGTGGCGTGATCGTAACAACCGTTTGTTCCTTCAAGCGTATATATGTAGCTGTGTATTAGTATCATGTCCTATAGTGCATGATCTGCAAAGTAATTATGTAACAGATGTAACGCTCTGAACGGTGAACGCAGAGAATGACACTTCTTGGGATGCCAGTAGCATACAAAACAACTGACTAAAGAGTGTAAAAAATAAGGTTGCGTGCACAGTGAGACTGTCGTACTAGGTAGTTATATTATAAACGTACTCCTAGCGTTTGCTTTAGCGAGTAGTTTCAGGTATAATATAAATTGGTCATTAATTGTTTAGTGCATATACAATATATACAAAGGTATATATTATCAACTAAACATGATAATGCTATTTGTTTTCATATAAGGCCTTCATACAGTGGGCCTTAACAGCCCCTACCCTCTACCAAGGTGGCAGATATTATAGGGAAAATGACCAAAAGCCACCGTGTAATTTGTGGCCAGATGGAAACAATTAAATCTGTACTCGCGGAGATGGCATTGTGTCCGCTCTGTAGGGAGCAACTACAGGAGATTCCTCAGTTAACTTCAATATGGACTAACAAGCTATTCAGAAGGGGCCATTTGTATCCGTCACAAAAGAGCAAGCGGTTTAGATCAGAGCACTTAACTGTCAAAGGGACTTAGCCTGAGTCTGTTAAAAGACAGTGCCTGAGAAGTTATACAAACCATTACCAGCCATATTATCAACCTGGAGATTTCAACACAGGATCAGAGATGGTAAAATGACCGTCTATTTATCCTAAAGCATATCTGTGAATATCTTGTGAAAAATCAATCTGTGGCCCAAACGTCAGGTTTCCAACCCGATCATGAGTCCTTGATTCAACGAAAATAAGTCCATAGCATCGGCTTCCCGACACCACTGCAATAGGCAAACACTGACAAATTCTATTAAAATGTACGAAAGCTGCACCTGCATGTTCCCTGTAGGTCTACTATGTAAGGGCCACACTTGGCCTTTACTACATGCATTATCAAGTAAATCTCCTTACAAACAGCCATAATGTTATAAATACAATGGGTTACATGATTGTTTAATGTTAACATCTATGGATAATCAAAACAGCATAGCAGTATACATACTTCATTTATTATATAATTGGTGACGTGTGTAACTGGGTGATAATATGTCATCTATTTTCCGTTTATCGTATCACGTAGGCAACGCGGGCGGAAAACAAATTCTCCGTGCCACTTCTTTAACGTGTTATCTTAAAGACTTTTCTTAAATATTCATCAGTCGCTCTTGTATGTGCTTATACAGTAATAAATAAATATCCATCAGTCGCCCTTGTATGTGCTTATAAGGTAATAAAGAACCTGAGCTGTTTGTTATCATTCTCGGCTACGTACGAAAAACCTACGGAATATGTTGGTGACTAATATCTTATAGACAGAGTTAAATCTCGAAGCGGTTTACATGCTTTGAAGGCCAGTTACATGAAAAGTGAAAAGCAAATTGCACTGATACACTGTTGTCCTCACTTTACCGTCATATAATTACATTCATGTTTTCTAAAGGTTATATTTGTCAAGGTAAAGGAAGTCCTACATCTGTTGAGCTTTCTTAATAGTGATAAAATGAGTCATATTTGACGATCGCCACATTCCATCTTCTTCTTGGGAAAGGCCATACTTGCTGCCCTCTCTCTGGATGAAGTCCATACAAAATGACAACATACGATGATCAAACTTGGAAGAGTCTCCTGACCAACCGTCACAGAAGATAATTGAGACATAGGCTCCGACCTCTGCCAATGACGATAGAACAAAACCTTTGGGGATCTCGTCGTGCGTTATTAAACCCTTCACCATTGGGAATGCTTCGTTCAAAATATTTACAATCCCGCCTTGAAATAGCAAAGAACGCCTGGCTTCCCCTACCCTCCTAAAATTGGCGAATTTTTCAGGACACAGAATCTCACAACAACGCAGAGAGGTTTTCCAAATGAAGTCGTTTTTCCCACCATCTAACTCTATAACCAACATACCCCCGGGCTTGAGGATGGAATACATGGCAATGACAGCTCGCTTGATGTCTCCATGAGGATCACAGGAATCATCCAACCAACGTGTAAGATGATACATAGAATGTATAGCTAGTACCCTGTCCTGTAATTCTTCAGGATACGTTCCAATGGACCTCAGCTCTTCCACAGACTTCCCGAAGTAATCCTGGAACCGTCCAGAGTAGGCCACATTCAGAGTAGCATTATCCAAGTCCTCAATGCATTTCTTGTATTTCTGCAAGGACTCTTTATGAGGTTCTTCCACGCTGACGATGGCATCTTTGTTGAGAGCGTGAAGCTTTTCACATATGGCTGACATGGGGGTTCCTGTTCCTCCCCCAAAATCCATAATTTGGACTGGTGGAGAAAGTTCTTTTAAATTCATCCTGTTCATACGAATAGTTTCAAAGTTGGGGGAACCTCTTTTCATGCCCTCTTCCACTCTGAAATGAATGAGGATTAATAAGTTGAATGGCTCGTTTAATAAAAAAAGATAAAATGATAACCAAAGAAAATAATTTTATAAGTGAATGGACTGTTATATTAATAGGTGAATTGATTTAATTATCAATGTTATCATGTGGACTCACCCTTTCTCAAGGATATTTAAACATCTGCGATAAGCCTCAGAGACAGTTAAGGAGCTGAAATCTCCTTCCAATTTACGTCGCATCTCCTGTTCATATCGTTCTTTTCTCTGGTAGCTGCCTGCCATCGGAAATGATTCGTCTTACAAAATTTCAAAAGATGTTTTGAATTTTTCAAGACGAAGTTTGGAATTTTCTGCCAGTGAATACAAGCTGAGTCCGACAAGTGAAGTGCTTTAGCAAAAAAGCAATATCAGATGACCGCTTAAAAAGACTTTTCTGAGGTCACCCGGGCCAATTTTGAATGCCTATAAATCTCTCACCGTGGCCGTTTGTTCCATCATTCTACTTTGTTTAATACACATTTACATGGATTACGTGCCTCAAACATTTAATGGTACGTGATCTGCATTGTAATTTATACAGCGAAGCATTTATATTATGTTTTATCCTCCATGTCCCTCAAAGCACCCTACCCTAGAAAGGATTCGGCGCCTCAATTTGTAATAAAATGACCCGAAAGGACTTCCATAACACAAAATTAGCCAGTTATATACCTTTACGTGTTCTTATGTGCTTTTTTTCTTCCATTCCATAAATAAACCCAGCGGGCAAATTATGTTGTTTTAACGTTGAAACAACGTTGAACCATAATGTTTATAAGACGTTAGATAAACATTGGATTTGAAAGTTGGATCAACGTCAGATAACAACATTGTATCAACCCCAGTTGTTAGACAACATTCTTGCATGAAAAGACATTAAAATGACCTGATTTTTTTATATTTGGTACAAAACACAGGTACACAATTATAACGAACACTGTAAAAACATCCAAGTGCTTGCTTTGTCTGATTTTTTTAACGCATTTAGCTCCTAAGCATATTTTGCACCTAAGCATGGTACACTCCTTTAGCCTAGATGTATTTAGCAGTAGGACATTTTGGTGGCTAAATATATGTGGGGTATATATGTATGGCCTTTAAGTTAGAATTTCCAAGGTTTAGTTTATCTATAACAGGGTACCAAGAACTGTCAACTTTGTTAACTTCACTCAATCAAACTTACAGCGACTTATTCATCCTTGTGTTAGCTGACCTTGCATGGAAGTTTATTGGAATGTATTTCTATATTACAAGTTAAGAAAATTCACTAGTTCACTAAAGACACAAAACAAATGTCACTTTAACTTTAAAATACTCTTTTTATCATTTTGATAAAGTTAGTTACAGTATTGATAAACAAAGTATCACGTTTTCAATAATTAATATTTTAAATTACAATCCATGACTTGCAATGACCAAAATACAACGTTGAGTCAACGTCACATTATGACGGTGTTTTGACGTGGCTGGATCAACGCTGATTTTACGTTGAATTTAGGTAGATCAACGGCAATTCAACGTATCAACCTGTTTTCAACGTTGATCCAACGCCACTATGCCTGCTGGGATACTGTTTCTTTACTATAAAAAGGTCTAAAGCTCCTTTTAACTGTAAACTGGGATTTATACTTGAAAAAAGAAAGCTTGTCCATTTCATCGATTCATTTAAGCATTACTACAAATCTGTTTATAAAAATAAGGCTTTATGAAAATGTGAAAATACGTTGACATTATTTATTTTCACAAAAAAAAAGCCATGCCAAAAGGATGGTGTCACACTGTCCCGAAATTGACAGCAGATGGTCGTGCAAGTATTCTGAATTACGCCCTTCTAAGATAGCTCCGAACAGTCAACAATCAAAACCATTACTAGGTCTACTCTGTAAAGGTGCCCATGACTATTTATGGGAAGTAATTCTAATATCTGTACAATATATGTCATGTGTAACAGAGGTAATGTTCTGAACGCTAAACGCAGGTTATGACACTCCTTGTGGTGCCATTAGCATACCAATAAACTGTCTAAAGGGTGTAAACAACTATGGGTGAGTTCACAGTGAAACTGTCGTACTGGGTAGTTTTATTATGACCGCACTCTATTACAAAATTAGGAGTGGAAAAGCACAGTTGCAAATTAATGCCCTGATTATATTTTTAATGTTTTTTTGAGTATTTTTTGATGTTTTGAAGTTTATAAAGTTGTTAATAAAGAAGTAGAGGATACAAAAACCGTGCAAATGACAAACTCTGATAATTTTAAAAAGCAGCGTACCACTTGTTCTTAAAGCAGGTTACTTAATACTTTCTTCGAGTCAAAGTGCGTATAAAGTAGAAGGCTGCTGTCAAAACGTATATACTTCACCAAGAGAGTCATACTTCTGTCCAGTAGGCTATTTATATCCCGCACTGTATTATAATGTACTACTACAGAAATGCATAATAGATTTATTTACCTTTTTTCTACTTCAAATTCGATATCTTGTATTGCAAAATACAAAGATTTTCCGATATTATAGCTTTAGAAACTTGGAAATCCACAACTGGATCATGGCTTTTGATTTTGCGAGTAGTTTCTGGTACGGTATAAATTGGTCATTAACTGCATAGTATATATATAGAATATATACAAAGGACTTAAGTTGTTGATCCCTATACTGACAACTGAACATGATAATGCTATCTTATTCACTGTATTTGTTTTCATATTAAGCCTTCATACAGTGGACTGTACCAGGGAGGCAGATATTATAGGGAAAATGACCAAAAGCCACCCTGTAAATTTTGGTCAGATGTAAGCAATAAAATCTGCACTAGCGTAGATAGCATTGTGCCCGTTCTGTAGGGAGCTATTAAAGGAGATTCCTCAGTTATATTCAATATGTTTTAACAAGCTATTCAGAAGGGGCTATTTTTATCTGTCACAAAAGAGAAAATGATTTAAATCAGACCAATTAACTATCTTGATTGTTGTCAAAGAGACTTGCCCTGGGTCTGTTAAATGACAGTGCTTGAGATGTTATGCAGACAATAACCAGCCATGTAATCAACCTGGAGATTTCAGCACAGAGTCAGATATAGTAAAATGACCGACCCTTTATCTGTGAATATCTTGTGAAAAATAATCTGTGCCCCTGGGTAAACAGCCCCAAAGTCAGGTTTCCAATCCAAGCATGAGACCTTGATTCAAGGCAAAATAAGTCCATAGCATTAGCTTCCCGACACCACTGCGATTAGCAAATACTGGCAAGTTCTATCAAAATGTATGAAAGCTGCACCTGCATGTCCCCTGTGGGTCTAATGTGTAAGGGCCCTTACTACATAATGAAATAAGTCTCCTGACGGTCTAAATATACATGCATCCATAATGTTATTAACTGGTGACGAAGTCAATGCAAAATGACAACATACGATGGTCAAACTTGAAGGAGTCTCCTGGCCAACCGTCACAGTAGATAATTGAGACATAGGCTACGACCTCTGCCAAAGAAGGTAGTATGACAATTTAAGCCTAGACATTTTTAACTTTCTTTATAGTGATCAAATTAGTAGTATTTGTCGATCGCCACATTCCGTCCTCTTCTTGGGAAAGGCCGTACTTGCTGCCCTCTCTCTGGACGAAGTCGATGAAAAATGATATATGACGATGGTCAAACTTGGGCGTGTCTCCTGTAAATCCTGTGAAGTACATGGTGAAGACATAGACTCCGACCTCTGCCAGAGATGGTAGCACAAAACCACAGGTCGCCTCAAGGTGCTGTACAGAAGCCGTAAAGGTTGGGAATGATTTGGCCAGGATATCTGCAATTTTTCCTTGATATAACAAAGATCGCCTAGCCCCCTCTATCTTCCTGAAATTCACGACTTCTTTAGGAAAAAGAATCTCAAAACAACGCAGAGCGGTTTTCCAAATGAAGTCGTTTTCCCCACCATCAAACTCTATAACCAACACCCCCGGGCTTGAGGATGGTATACATGGCAAAGACAGCTCGCTTGATGTCTTCATGAGGATCACAAGAATCATCCAACCAATCTGAAACATGGTACATAGAATGTATGGACAGCATCCTATCTTGTAGTTGATGAGGATACGCTCCAACGGACTTCAGATCTTCCACAGACTTCCCGATATAATCCTGGAATCGTCCAGAGTAGGCCACATCCAAAGTAGCATTCTCCAATTTCTCAATGCATATCTTGTATTTCTTCAGGGACTATTTATGAGGTTCGTCCATGCTGACGATGGCATTCTTGTTGAGGTCTCTAAGCCTTTTACAAATGGCTGACATTGGAGTTCCTGTACCTCCCCCAAAATCCATAATTCGGAGTGGTGAAGAAAGTTCTGATAGGTTCAGGATGTTTTCACGGACGTTATCAAAGTCTGTTAAGCCGCGTTTCTTACCTTCTTCAACTCTGAAAAGTTAAGGAGTTGGAATACTTAATTAAAGAAAAAAGATTAACAAATGACGAATGGTGAATTGATTTATTATTGGAGTACACCTACCCATTGTCGATAATGGTTACACATTTGTTTAAAGCTTCAGCGTTATCCAAGGAGCTGAACTCTTCTTCCAATCGACGCCGCATCTCCTGGTCATCTCGTTTTCTAGTCTGGTAGCTGACTGCCATCGGAAATACTGTGAACTGATTGATAATTCCTCCAAAATATGCTGGGATACACACTTCAAAATTCAAGTTCAAACCCCTTTTATATCCTGACACAATTTTCATTTCATGTATTTCCTGTATTTTTGTGGTGGCACCTGCACGCAAGCGCAGTAGATGCTCCAGCGCAGTTGACCCACTTCACACTGACAACATGCCTCAAAACCTTTAAGGGACGGATGAGGTTTATACTCCCCAGAAGTATCATTCTACTATAACCATGCTTCAAAAATCTCAGTAGAAATTAAACACAATGCTTCATCGCAGTCGTACATTACCACATTTGATTATATAACATTCTCTTGTGTGACATATATTTGCAAGAGACATTGTGTATAAATAATTTCTTTACGTGATCTGCATTATAATACATTCTGTAAAATGTAATGCTGGTAACGTAACTGCTTCATAACTGGGGTTATGCGTTAAAGGTTCATAACAAGGGAGAATACAACAACGCATACAAATTACCACTACCGGTTTCTTACACAACACAAATAAGACCCACGTGTCCAGCAAAGAGTACAACCTAACCTGATTGTGAAATAAAATCGTTCTAATGAAATAAGGTTCTGAATAGGTAAATAAGTGTCAAGTACTTACAATAAACAACCATTAGGAAAACAAAGCCCAAAACAGCACTGAAAGATTTTTAAAAGTTGAATAGCCTGCTCATGCAGTAGCCAGAAAGGAGGAAGATGATGAGGATGCGCAGATGGTTTTCCTTATTTAACAGAAAAAATTAACCTAAAACATTTGAAATTCCGCCTACACTTATTCTAGTATCCTTTGATGTGCTCTGGTATCAAGGGCTCCTCAAACTGAATACAAAATTACACTGTTTCATTAAGAATTTTTGGATAATATTGCTAGCTTAACCGTTGGTCAGAGAGTGGGCTTTCTGTACAAGTTCTAGATCCATAATTTGAAATGGAAAGGAATTCCCCTTAAAGGGATAACAACTCTTTGTGTGAGATTTATATTTTACAATAAATACATAGTAAACATCTCATGGAAATATAATAAATTTTATTTTACCACAAAAACGACAGCTTTTGCAACTATTCTGAAATCTGTACTTGTCATTAGATCACACGACCTCCATAGATGGCTATGCTCTGTAATGATCTCTTAAGAAGTCATTAAAAAACAAAAAACATGCTTTTTAGAAAAAAAAACAGGGACTAACTTTGATCGAAAAAATGGATTCATTTACCAATGGTAAGTATGGGAAAGTTGTTCTTTACCCCAGGAATTTTTTTAAATTTTTTTTTTTTTAATTTTATTTTATTTTTTTATTTTATTATCATTATTATTTCTTTTTTTTTTTTTTCTTTTTGGCCAAAATGAACAGTTGTTATCCTTTTAACTTCATTCTGTCCACTACCCTGAGCCTAGCTTGCTCATTATACTTTTCCACGTGTGAGCTTTACAATTACGGTATTACTGATGAGGGCAATACATAAAATCAAGAACGAGCTGGCAATACCGAAATTTAGAACCTAGGGTATCTGTTCACATGAATGGTTTCGAATTTGAGAAAATCTCTTTTCATATCTCCCTCTTTTTAGAAATGTTAGTGGCTACGTACATTTCTTTTAAAGGGGTCCATTATATGACCAAATCAAGCAATAAATGTTGTGAGATCACCCATTGTGGAGGATAATTACATTTGAACAAGCTTCAGAGATTGTGGAGGAGCTGAACTTTTCTTCCAACCTCATCTTTTTTTTTTTTTTTTTTTTTTTTTTTTTTTTTTTTTTTTTTTTTTTTTTTTTTTTTTTTTTGACCTTCTTCTCTAATTCTGGTACAATTCATTTTTCGGACTTAGAAAACGAAATATTGTAACTTTTGTTGAAATACACTCAGTTGTTACCTATTGTGAAATTGGCAAGTGAAGGGTTTTAACAAAAAGCAGCATTAGACAGGTCTCTAGCCAGTGAGGCTCGGGGGGGGGGGAAGAATCCCCTTTTTGCCGGAAAAGGNTTTTTTTTTTTTTTTTTTTTTTTTTTTTTTTTTTTTTTTTTTTTTTTTTTTTTACCTTCTTCTCTAATCTGGTACAATTCATCGGACAGAAAACGAAATATTGTAACTTTTGTTGAAATACACTCAGTTGTTACCTATGTGAAATTGGCAAGTGAAGGGTTTTAACAAAAAGCAGCATTAGACAGGTCTCTAGCCAGTGAGGCTCGGGGGGGGGGGAAGAATCCCCTTTTTGCCGGAAAAGGTCCCCTCTGGGTAAACTTTTATCTAGGTACACGAAGGTTTCATGATAAAAGGTCCATTGTTTTTCGGAAAAAGAGCCCACCTCCCCTTTTGAAATTGCTGGTTACTGGCCTGTCATTCTTGAGTCATTTCTGACACATTCATCAGTCACTCCGCTCAGCTACAGTAAAATCTGTTTGTTATCATACTCCGCTACACATGAAAAACCTACGGAATATGTTGGTGACTAATCTCTCATTGATAGAAGTATATATCAAAGCGGTTTACATGCTTTGAAGACCGGTTACATGAAAAGTGAAAAGCAAATTACACTGATACACTGTTTTGTTCACTACATCGTCAAATAATTATATTCATGGTTTCTGGAGATAAAACCGCGCCTTTACAATTACTGTGTGTCCGGCTGCTGTGGAGATACCGCGAATAGATTTTTTTTTACTTTCCATGTGAACGAAGCCTAAGAGTTTATTTAAAGACTGTTGCTCAATATGGTTGTCAAAGCCATCGGTGTTGTTATAAGTGTCAGTTTTCGTTGAGTAGACAGTTCAGGGGCAGGTCGAGGATTTTTTGAAGGGGGGGGTGTCGCGGATACGAAGCCCACTCTTCTCCACCCCAAAAAAGTCAGCCATATTAACTAAATAACAACGTTAAAAACATTGGTAAATTATATCAATTTGAACTCTGCAGCCGCCCTTTTCCCCCAGAATACGTGTACTTGATTATTTCACATAAAATTACCACGTTTCTGAGAAATTTCTGAACAATATGAAATACAATGGGTACCATTATGATAGTGCTATCATGCTTTTTAGAAAATAGAACTACAGAACAAATTGAAAATAATTTTGAGCATTTGTCGTCCTTTTGGTAATGATTTGCATGGGGAAAATTATAGAAAACAGAATTAATCACAGCGGATACAACCAAACATGTATCTAAAGTGTCTAGTACCAGTACACCATGTAATGTGTCGATGACTTCCTGATTAATAATAAGAATAAGAATAACCTTACACTTTGTTATTTTCACAGTTCTTTCTTTGAAGATAAGAAAAGTCCTAAACAGCTTTGGCTTTCTTAATAGTGATAAAGTGTGTAACATTTGACATCCGCCACATTCCGTCCTCTTCTTGGGAAAGGCCATACTTCCTGCCTTCTCTCTGGACGAAGTCAATGCAAAATGACAGCATACTATGGTCAAATTTGGAAGCATNATGGAACGCCATAATTTTGAATATTCATAAAATTGTGAATATGCTGAACGAATCATTTCTAAAATTTAAAGCTTCAATAAGTCACGAGGAGGGGAGAGGAGGGGAGGTGTGATTTTGTGCTTCCTTCACTTGCAGAGACAGGGGTCTCATCCTTCTTTACCTATTTTGACGGTCGGACAGGAGACACCTCCAAATTTGACCATCGTATGTTGTCATTCTGCATGAACTTCGTTTTTCTGCATAAACTTGAGGAGGGGTTTTAAATCTGTTTTTCTTTCTTAATAGTAATAAAGTGTGTAACATTTAACAACCGCCACATTCCATCCCCTTCTTGGGAAAGGCTGTACTTGCTGCCTTCTCTCGGGACGAAGTTCATGCAGAATGACAACATACGATGGTCAAATTTGGAGGTGTCTCCTGTCCGACCGTCAAAATAGGTAAAGAAGGATGAGACCCCTATCTCTGCAAGTGAAGGAAGCACAAAATCACACCTCCCCTCCTCGTGACTTATTGAAGCTTTAAATTTTGGAAATGATTCGTTCAGCATATTTGGAGGTGTCTCCTGTCCGACCGTCAAAATAGGTAAAGAAGGATGAGACCCCTATCTCTGCAAGTGAAGGAAGCACAAAATCACACCTCCCCTCCTTCTCCCTCCTCGTGACTTATTGAAGCTTTAAATTTTGGAAATGATTCGTTCAGCATATTCACAATTTTATGAATATTCAAAATTATAAAATATAAAATTCAAAATATAAAATTAAATTTTGGAAATGATTCGTTCAGCATATTCATAATTTAAGGAGGAAGATTATTAGGATGTGCTGATGGTTTTCCCCTATTAACAGTAAAATTTAACCTAAAAAAATTGAAATTCCGTCTACACTTATACTAGTATCACACTTATTCTAGTATCATTTGTCACTAAACTATGTATTTAAGTTTATTGCATAACAAAATTAAGCAATATGTAGTTATACCAGGATATTAGTCAAACTGAATATACAATGACTATTTAGTTCATGTCGAGGCCGTGACACCATACGAGGGTTAAACTTTGACGTGTCTCCTGTTCGTTCTTTGCCGTACATAGTAAAGACATACAGGCTTCGGCCTCGGCCAGGGAAGGTAGCATAAATCCACAGTACTCGTTTGCCTCCATTTGCTAGAAGGAAGTTGAGGAGGGGTTTTAAATCTGTTTTTCTTTCTTAATAGTAATAAAGTGTGTAACATTTAACAACCGCCACATTCCATCCCCTTCTTGGGAAAGGCCGTACTTGCTGCCTTCTCTCTGGACGAAGTTCATGCAGAATGACAACATACGATGGTCAAATTTGGAGGTGTCTCCTGTCCGACCGTCAAAATAGGTAAAGAAGGATGAGACCCCTATCTCTGCAAGTGAAGGAAGCACAAAATCACACCTCCCCTCCTCGTGACTTATTGAAGCTTTAAATTTTGGAAATGATTCGTTCAGCATATTCACAATTTTGCCTTGAAATAGCAATGACCGCCTAGCCTCATCTATCTTCTTTAGATTAATGACATCATTAGGAAAAAGAATTTCAAAACAGTGCACAGTGGTGTTCCACATAAAAGCGTTGTCCCCACTATCCAACTGCATTAACATCATCCCCCCTGGCTTGAGGATGGTATACATGGCAAAGACAGCTCGCCTGATTTCTTCATACGGATCAGAGGAGGGATCAAACCACTTTGTGAGATGATACATAGATTGAATAGCAAGCACCCTGTCCTGCAATTCTTCGGGATACGCTCCAATGGACCTCAGCTCTTCCACAGACTTCCCGAAGTAATCCTGGAACCGTCCAGAGTAGGCCACATCCAGAGTTGCATTATCCAAGTTCTCAATGCATTTCTTGTATTTCTGCAGGGACTCTTCATGAGGTTCTTCCACGCTGACGATGGCATCTTTGTTGAGTTCTTTAAGCCTTTTACATATGGCTGCCATTGGGGTTCCTATACCTCCCCCAAAATCCATAATTCTAACTGGTGAAGAAAGTTCTGTAAGCTTTAGACTGTTCATCCGAATGGTTGCAATATTGCGTGAATCTCTTTTCCTGCTTTCTTCTTTTCTGAAAAAAAAAGGTAAATGAGTTGAAATGTTTACCGGATAAAAAGTTGTCCAAATGGAAAACAGAATTATGAGGAAATGAACAGCTAGATTACATGAATTGTCTAATCAATCATGCAGACTCACCCTTTGTTGACGATAACTAAACATTTGTGATAAGCTTCAGAGACAGATAAGGTGCTGAACTCTTCTTCCAATCTAAGCCGCACCTCCTTTTCTCCTAGCTCTCTCGCCTGGTACCTAGCTGCCATCGAAAATGATGCGTATTCTGTATGATAACGCCTCAGACTAGTGAAAGAATTTCAAATACTTGATGAAAGTAAAGAGTTAAAGCAACGTCAGATGCCCGCTTAAAAGCTTAAGCTTATCGTTTAACCTAGCCAATACTTGAGTATATAACACTTATATAACGTCTTCTGTGACCTATATTTTAGAGACCTTGTCTCATTAAGTGTATATTTCCATGCGTATAAATTGTGTTTTTACGTGATCTGCATTATAATACACTCTGTAACATGTAATGCGGGTAATGTAACATACTGTATAATACACCCGTCACACTGGAGGCGAATGAGCAAGAATGCCGTCGGAAAGACAATTCTTTGTGCGCTCCTGGATATTCGAAGAGCATTCTAAAAATTGAAAGTGCGTTCTAAATATTTTTACCCATTCTTGTGGCATCCCGAATGTTTTTGTCATGTCAAAAACTTTCGAAGTGCATTCCAAGTGGAATTTTATTTGGCATTTAAACAGTATAATAACTGCACTATGACTGCATTTTAAATATTCTCACGGCATTCCGACAGCATTCAAAAGATTCTGATCACATAAGAGGAATATTCGAACTGCCAAGTGACTTAAAGCCCCCGTCAAACTTATTCAAAATCTGTAGGAATCAAGCTGGAATTACTAAATTTAAAAATTCGTACCATATTCGGGAGGGAATTTCAAATTATCATAAAATATTACGGCTTTAAGAATGCCTCTGCAATACTAAGAATGCACATCGAAACTGCCTGGAATAATTCTTGCACATTCCAGGTATATTACCTCTCATCAGCAGCTCATCATCTGCAGCTCGAATGTAGTTGGAATACCGTAGGGATATTGTGATAAATTTCTTCTTGGAATGCACTTCGAAAGTTTTTGACATGACAAAAACATTCGAGCCGGCCACAAGAATGGGTAAAAATATTTGGAATACACTCAGAATTTTTAGAATGCTTTTAGAATGCTCTTCGAATATCCTGGAATGCACAAAGAATTGTATTTCAGACGCCATTCTTAATCATTTTGCCTCTAGTGTGACGGGGATTTTATATCCCGCCAGAATGTTTCGAATGTGCCTCGGATGAGCTGAAATATTAATGTTGCCAGCATTCGAACTACACTAGCGCGCCGTTCACAGTATATTCTGAATATCCTTACTGCTTTCTTACAGCATTAAAAATATTCCTAGTTTTCCAACTCGTTCGAACTGCTTTTGAGAGCTAATACAGTCGAAAGTGCACTCATCATTCCAGGCGAATTCAAGCACATTCTGAGTTTTCCAACGGTACTCTTACAATAATTAAGGTCAATTTGAAATTTTTTCCCGAATGTGGTGCGAATTTTAAAATTTTTTCGTTCAGACTCATACTTCTTCATTCCTGCTGATTCCGAATAAGTGTGAAGGGGGTATAATGAGGGTTATGAGTTTTAAGAATCAAAACAAGGGAGAGTACAGTTACGCATACAAGTTACCACTACCAGTTTCTTACTTAAAACAAATAAAACCCACATGTCCAACAACAACCTAATTTTGGAAATATTATTCTAAGGAAATTAGGTTTTGAATAGGAGATTATGTGGCAAATATTTACAATAAACGATCAGTAGGACAACAAATCCCAAAACAGCATAGAATGTCTCACCACCAGAAGTCTCAAATTTATAATAATAAAATGCCCTGAAGAGAAATCCAAAGCTTGTCTGATGTTATCGACTAATTTCACCTATAAACTTCAAAATCTGTAAGTAAAAAATAAGGCGTTATTTAAAAAAAAGCATATGGAAAACTCGTTAATATTATTATTATATTGACAGTAAGCCACTGCATTTCTTGTGCTTCCACAAAGATTCTTCATGAGGTTCTTCCACGCTAACGATGGCACCTTTGTTCTGGGTTTGAAGCTTTTCACATATGACTGACATGGGGGTTCCTGTACCTCCCCCAAAATCCATAATTCGGACTGGTGAAGGAAGTTCTGTTAAATTCAACCTGTTCGTACGAAAAGTTTCAAGGTTGGGAGAACCTTTTTTCATGCCCTCTTCCACTCTGAAATGTTGGAGGATTAAAAGTTGAATGGCTAGTATAATAAAAAGATAAGAGGATAACCAAATAAAATAAGGATACGTATAAACATACAGACATCCAATAGATGAATTGATTTAATTACCAATGTTATATTGTAGATGAACTGATGTAATTATGTGGACTCACCCTATGTCAAGGATAATTAAACACCTGCAATAAGCTTCAGTGTTAGCCAAGGAGCTGAAATCTCCTTCCAATCTACGCCGCATTTCTTGTTCATGTCGTTCTTTTCTCTGGTAGCTGGCTGCTATCGGAATTGATTTGTCTTATAAACTTTCAAAAAAGATGTCTCAAGTCGATGTTCGGATTTTTCGTTGAAATTGTGAATACTAGCTGAATTCGACAGGTGAAGTGCTAAAGCAAAAGAGCAATATCATATGACCGCTAAAAAACTTTTCTAAGGTCACCCGGTTCAATTTTGAATAGATATAAATCTCTCACCGACACCGTTTGTTCCATCTTGCTACTTTGTATAATACACATTTACATGTATTACGTGCCTAAAATGTTTTATGGTACGTGATCTGCATTGTAATTTTAAAAGCGAAGTTTTAACATTGCTTGAGCTCGACATATGTTTTAACCTCAATGTCGAATAGACATTCTACTTAAGAAAGGTTCTAACGTATCAATTTATTATAAAATCAAAAACAAAATTAGCCAGTTCTAAACTTTTTAATGTTCTTATATGCTTTTTTCCTTCTTTTCCATAAATATAGTTTTTTTACGATATCCAGGTCTAACACTCGTTTTTACAGTAAAGTAGGATTAATAGTTGGCTTACAAAAAGTGATCTTGTCTGACGTTACAATCCATCCAAACACGATCCAGAACAGTCAATTCAAAGCAATTATTAGACCTGCTCAGTAAAGGTGCCCAGGTGTATTAATGGCAAATAATTCTTATAAATAATTCTTATATATATATATATATATATATATATATATATATATATATGATCGAAATAAATAAATAAATAAATAACGACGTGTGTCAAACCCGACTCCGAGTCTCACGGGCATACCCAGAAAGTATTGTAGCGTTTTGACATGTGAAATTTTTTCTTTTAAGAACTTTTCTCGTTAGCAGCTGAGTTGACCTCTGACCAGAGCGCCTATAAATACAGGAAGTCAGTCTAGGGCTGGGAGCTGAGAGGTAGAGTTGGAAACTGGAAGTCAGAGTGCTTTGTCAAGCAAGCGAGCTGTTAGCTGTTACTGTAGTGTTGGGCTGTCAGCCAGAGGGCAGCGCCACAAAGATTATAAAACAGAACCCTGTTTTGTTGGTGGCAGCGTTGTCATTCTTTAAAAGTAAAAGAACGGTACACTATACCCGATCGTCAGGGGGTTTACAAAATATTATAATGAGTGACAGGTAACAATATACATATTATTGGTTCTTATGTATAGAACTAAATGTAAGCATGCATGTTTTACACTGTTAACAGACGCATAATGTAAAGCTGACAACAAATTGTACTGATACGTACACCTGGTGTGTTTATAACACCGTGATGTAGATTGAAGGCTCGACGTTGTTATATTCATGAAATAAAATAGTCTTACGCATTTTTTAATTTCTCAATAGTGATAAAGTGTGTAACATTTGGCCACCGCCACATTCCATCCTTTTCTTGGGAAAGGCCATACTTGCTGCCCTCTCTCTGGACGAAGTCCATGCAAAATGACAAATGACGAGGATCAAACGTAGGCGTGTCTCCTGTAAATCCTGAGTACATGATGAAGACATAGGCTCCGACCTCCGCCAGTGATGGTAGCACATATCCACAGCTCACCTCCATGTGCTGTATAGAAGCTGTGAAGGTTGGAAATGATTCGTTCAGGTCATCTGCAATTTTTCCTTCATATAACAAAGAACATCTAGCCCCCTTTATCTTCTTGAGGTTCACGACTTCTTTAGGAAAAAGAATCTCAAAACAATGCAGAGCGGTTTTCCAAATGAAGTCGTTTTCCCCACCATCTAACTCTATAACCATCATACCCCGGCTTGAGGATGGTATACATGGCAAAGACAGCTTGCCTGATGTCTTCATGAGGATCACAGGAATTATCCAACCAACTTAAAGCATGGTGCATAGAATGTATGGCCAGTACTCGGTCTTGAAACTCTAAGGGATATGCACCAACTGACCTTAGATCTTCCACAGACTTCCCAAAGTAATCCTGGAACCGTCCAGAGTAACAAATGATGCATGATTAATTGATTTATTATATGGGCACCTACCCATTGTTGATAATAGTTACACATTTGTTTTAAGCTTCAGCATTAGCCAAGGAGCTGAACTTTTCTTCCAATCTACGACGCATCTCCTGTTCATCTCGTTTTCCTGTCAGAAAGCTGACTGCCATTGGAATATTCTGTAGTGTGTTCTGTCCGCTAACTCTGCCAAAATGTGCATAGATGCAGAATAAGACACTTTCTTCAATTACTTCAGTTAATGTCACATTAATTAAACAAGTGCGAGGACAACCATCACCTGTGGCGTGATCCTAATACATCTTAACTACAGTTTGTTCCTTCAAGCGTATATATGTACCTGTTTATTAGTATCATGTCTCATAGTAATGTGTAACAGATGTAGTGTTCTAAATGGTAAACGCAGAGAATGACACTTCTTGTGAAGCCAGTAGTAGTATACCAAACAGCTGACTAAAGAGTGTAAACAACTATGGTGCGTACACAATAAAACTATCGTAAAAGAGAGTTTTATTGTGAACGCGCACTACAACAAACTTAGGGTTAGAAATAACACAGAAGCATATTAATCCACTGATTTTATTTTAGTTTATTTTTTCCGATAGATGTTTTTTCCGATAGATGTTTTGATGTTACGTTTGTTGTTACTAAGTTGAGGATACAGAATCCGTATATAAATATTCATACTTTAATAAGCAAAGAAAAATGCTTTTCCAAGTGTTACACTCCAGTTAGATTTGTGAATTACAAAGCCTGATAACAAAAGCAGATTCCTTCTCATAAAAAGACATGTACAGTACCTAACCATGATAAACAAATGATTTCTTGATTTATTATT